CATTAGCAAATGTTATATGCTTTATCATTATTGTAACTTTTAAGGTCAGTGTTTTATTTAGTTCGATTCTTGAAAAATGTTGTTGTAAAGAAAAATTACAAATTCTAAACAAAAAATTATTTAATCCCGTGCGTCGCACGGGTTAAAATGCTAGTCCTTTATATATTATATTTGGGAGTTTAACTCCCAGAATTTTGACATTTGTCATGCTGACGAGGATTTCTTTTTACACTTCATAAGCCATGTCATCATATTGGACTTGCTCAATATTTCAAACGGGTTGGATAATGATTCATTACTTTGGGCTTCTTTTATTTGGGCTACTTTGTGTGGAATTCATCTGCAAGTCTGAATGAAGCGAGACATCAGCGACACTTTCCTTCGATTGCACCTCCCTGCGATATTCATTTTCGAATGGCTCCACCGCGAGATTTCAAAGAATATGTGATTGGAATTAATCTCTTTCCTTTTTCACGGAAATTCCAACGATCGGTACCAAGAATAGGTAACTTTCCTTTTCTTAAAAAATCATAATTGTTTTTTGGATGATTGGCCTTCTTTCCTTCTTATGATGATTAGCCTCTGCGAAATTTGTTCTTCTTTCTTATCATAATTATTTTGCTTTTACTTTTAAAACACAATTATACTGATCTGTATAAAAAACCAAAATTATTCAATTGCCCATATTGAATAAATAAATGAAGAATGATAACTCTGCTGTTCTTAAAGTATAATGAGTCTGCTTTCCTTGAAGCTTCTATTTTCAGCACCATAAAAAATAATTTTTTTATTGAAGTACTGAAGAGTTGAGCCTGTCCTTATTTTCAGATTTATAGTCTGCTATTTTTGAACATATTTTATGGTGTGGAGTTTAGTTTTTAGTCTCTTGAAATTTCTTTAGATTCAGAGTATTGAAAAAACAAAACACACTATAGTATTCTAAGTATTAAAAAACAAAACACACTATAGTCTCTTTAGTTTTTTTAGTGCCTATTCATGTTGAAGTTTCTCCAGTGCCTAAAACCATGAGACTAAATTTTTTTAATAGTGCCTAAGAAGGAATTCTTATAATTTATGTAATAATAACTCTGTCGTTCTTAAAGTGTAATAAGTCTGTTGTCCTTGAATCTTCTATTTTCAGCACCATAAAAACATATTTTTTATTAAAGTATTGACGACTTGAGTCTGTCCTTATTTTTTTGAACATATATATGGTGTGGAGTTTAATTTTTATAGTCTCTTGAAGTTTCTCTAGTCCTTAAGTATTGAAAAAACAAATCACACTATAGTCTGTTTACTTTTCATAACTAATACCTGAAATGATAAGAAATATAAATACAAATAATCACCCAAATCAATATCAACACACACAATAAGAATTCAAGAGACATTGATGTGTAGATTGACGGCCTGCTCTGTGATTTTAAAGCTAACAAATCTCCTATGGATCTCGACCTTTTTGTTCTCCACTTCTCCTCATCATCTCCTCAAATTGTTTTTTATATCCTCTTCCTTATCTTTATATAAATAAATGTTTTTTATTAAAGTATTGAAGCTTTTCCATAAATAAACAATGAAGCTTCTTTTTTCATCTCAATGAATAAATGATTTATTGATAAAGGTATTGAACACTTCAACATGTCCTTATTTTCAGATTTATAGTCTGCTATTTTTTTAGCATGTTTTTTGGTGTTCATTATTTTTTATAGTCCTTGAAGATTCTCAACTGCCTAAGACTTCAAACTTATGAAATCCCCATAACTATTCATGTTTCCTTGATATTTTGTAGGAAACTACTATCTATGCCACTGTAAGAAAAACTCTTGTGGGAACTTTTGAGAAGAAAATAAAGGAAGGATCGGTATATGTATTTGCTTACTTCGGCGTCGGTAATAGCAGTGGATATTATCGCACTTCACGACATGACTTTCGCCTAAACTTCCAAGCAAGGACGACTGTCACTGAAACCAGTTGTGACAAAATACCACTTTATTGAATTAGGTTAGTTGCATTTTCGAAAATCTTGCATGCAGATTCAAACTATCAATAGAAGACAATTTTCAATAGTCTTATGTTTTGCTATGACTATTAACAAAAGTCAAGGTCAAACATTGTCATTTATTGGATTATTTTTAACCAAGTCAGTGTTCACTCATGGTCAGCTTTATGTTGCTGTTTCGCGAGTGAAGACAAAGACATGATTAAAAATATTAGTCATAGATAACAATGGAAATTCTTGAAGCCATACAAAAAATGTTGTATACCCTGAAATCTTTCAAAAAATTTGGTATTAAATTAAACTTTGTTGTGTGTAGATTCAATTCCTCAAATATTATTCTTTTTACTTTGCCTTTCTTTTCTGTTGATAGAATTTAGGATGGGTATGGACAACTGGATTGGGTAATAAAACACTTAGGGTGAACCACATTAAAAGATTGAATCCAATCGATTAGTTAGTTCAACTCAACAGCTTATATACCGATTATTTTACTATTGGACTTCTGATGTGGGATGCACTCTAACACTCCCCCTCAAGTGGACAACCGGGCCATTTTGAATCTATCCGGTTGACCACTTGCAAATGAACTCCCATTCCCTTGACTTTTTTTTCAATGCCAACACCTAAAGAACCACGAGCTGCTGGGTACGGACTTCCAGACGAGCAATCGTGTTAAACAGGCCACATGCCGTTGGGTACATAATCCATACGGACAACTGGGCTAAAGACTAACGGGCCACTAGGAATGAACGTCTAGACGGACACCTTGACAAACGAGGTGGGCCAAAACCTGCTCTGATACCTTGATAGAATTTAGGATGAGGTATGGACAACTGGATTGGTAATAAGACACTTGGGGTGAACCACATTAAAAGATTGAATCTAATCGATTAGTTAGTTCAACTCAAGAGCTTATATACCGATTATTTTACTCTTGGACTTCCGATGTGGGATGCACTCTAACATCTGTGTTATTATAAATCATGCATGAGGTATATTTCCTTTATTCTAGAAAAAAATATTGCATGGAATAAATTCCGAATCGACAAGATATTCGTCCGAACCCGTGCATTGCACGGGTAGGAATACTAGAATATATTTAAAGTTAAGTTTATGTGTTGTGGTGTTGACATGTGGCATGCCACATGTGCATCCACATGTGCACCTATTAATGAGGTGGATTACATTCAATTGGTCCATTTAGTTTTTAAAATACATTTTATTGCATTTGATTAAAGGAATATTATATTTTAGTATTAAAAAACCATTACTTTAATTATGTTGTGTATAAAACCTTTTGTTTTTGAATTAACATACCAATATATATTCCACCACTTTAAAACATATTTTGTTTACTTAAATTATATCTAAACAAATATTTTTTAAACTTTGTTGATATTTTGAAAAGTAAATTTATATGATTTTATAAAAATAATTTACCATTTCTCTTTTAGTACTTTTAAACAAAATACTTAAAGAATTTTTAGTGTATGTACATAAATATTTAAACTATAGTTTCTTTTAAAAAAAAGATACAGAGTATATCTTAGAGGTTATAAACATACATCTAACACATATAATGTCACCACTATTAGAAATCTAAAATAAATAAAATTATATTTGGAGAGTGTCAAAATTTAGAAATGATATAATTTGAAGAAGGAAAACCGAAGGAATTCTTGCATCCTTTCACATTGTGAGCCATTAATCTTTGAGTACATCATCATAATCTACGGTTGATATAAAATCTTACATTAATCTACGCCTAAAAGAGGAAATAAATTATATATAAACCGTAAGATTTGAAAAAGGAAATCCGAAGGAATTCTTTATTTTCTTTCCATCCGTACACTTTTTTTTGTTTTTGTTTTTCTTACCATATTTGTGAATAAAACGAATTAAGTAATGAAACTATGAAAGTAGGAAATAACAAAATGGTAAGAATTTAAAAAAAGAAAACAGGAGCAAGCCGTAGTTATAATGTTTTTTGATATTTTGATATTTATTTTTTTTGAATAAAATCAGTAATAATGAACAAAATGGTAATGATGTAAAATTTATAAAGTAATAAATGTAATAAATCGTAGAAATAGACAATGGTAATAATTAGAAAATGAAAAAAAGAAGAATGTAATTTTACATTTGTTATGTTAAAAAGGAAAAAATTTTTACCAATTTGTTTCCTTTTCGGAAATAATTTTATGGTATAAATTATGATCCGATCCCATGCTATGTTGAGGACATATTTACGAAATGGGTGTGTGGTCAACTCTTGACAAAATTGATGATGGTTTAGGTCCGTTCATGGTAAACGTGCGAGCTGTAAGGGTTTATCGAACCGATGCGCATGATCGAACGCCAGAATCTCTTGATGGTATCTTTCATGATCAAAAAGTTTTTTATAACTTTTATTCGATCCAGATTCATTATATTTATTAAACAAATAATTGTTATTACATAAACAATTATTTCTTGATTTACAGGAAAATTGGATTCATGCGCAGATAAGAGATTCGAATATCAATACTTTCAAAGATGACCTCAAAGAAAACCAAGTTTATGGTTTAACCCGGTTCAGAGTTTAACGAAACTTACAGAACACTAAGACAACCTCCCATCCTTATATGATAGTGTTTTTTGGAAGAGCCAAACTTCAAAAATTGTCTTCAGACTTATTTCCAAATTTTCGATACAAATTCATGTCATTCGATGATATCAAGCTACTGCCTTTGATATTCGACATTTTGTTGATTGCTTAGTAAATTATATAATCTTTATATAGAAAATTTAATATGTCAGGTATACATTAATTAAAATAAATATTATATACTAATATTTTAATCACAAATGTCATTGGAAAAGTTGTTAGTCGTACCATGCCAGAAGATCACATAGTTAAATGTGTTCCCGAGAGGATGATGGTGGTTGCATTGGAAGACCATAGGTATACATAAACATAAATGTATCATATTTGATGTCAAATTTATTTTTTTACAGCTTTCTATTATTAATCACTTTATTTAATCTTTGTTCAAGGGAAACCGTCTAGATTGTACGTTATGGGCTCATCATATTAATAAAGTGATCGAGGGACTCAATGAAGGATTGGAAAATCCACCAATTCTTTTGATGCACATGGTGAAACCTAGGCGATATAATGGTATCACTATTATATATTCTTTAAACACTATTTCTTTTTCAAAATTTCTTTCATGCCTAATGATTGTGATAATTAAAATTCAGTAAAAGTCTATGTTTCTACCTTTTATAATGTTGTTGAAGATTATCGTAAGCTCCTCAGCATGGGTGAAAACAGATTTGTTGTCAACCATCTTATAGTTCAGTATCTTCCCGACAATGAATTTCTTCGCGCCGACATCTTCAGCTTGATACTTCTTGTTCAAGCTACTCCAAAGCTCTTTTGCAAGCTTTGCACCGGCATAGACGGGATACAGCGTCTCGGCCAACCCCTCGAGGATGTAGTTGATGGTGAGATAGTTATTGTGGTACCATGCTTCGTTCACCATCGCCACGAGGGGGTCGTTCCCGTCATTCGCCTGGGGAGGATCTTGCTGTAGGTACTCAGCAAATCCCAAGATGGTCAAGAAAAACGTCATCTTTTCTTGCCACATCTTGAAGTTTGTGCCATTGAACTTTGGTGGCCTTTGGACCGTACTAGCGGGCACTGAAATCGGCCCAACTGCATTGGGCGTATGGAGGAAAGGCCCGTTGGACGCCCAATGAGGTCTGACAAATGGATTGATCGGTGCGTTGAATCCCGCGTTTGGTCCAAAGTTGACCGTTGAGGCCGAAGCCATAGTTGGTTCGAGGAATGGGTTTGTATTACCAACGGGGTGACCCCCCATGGTTTCGAGCCCGGGAATAGGTCGAGGAGCCGACCCGAAGATCGAGCTCAGCATCGAGATTGATGTCATGGTGGCGGCCCCCACACTTGACCCGAATGGCAGCGGTGAGGACGGCACAACCATGGCAACTTTAGAGGTTTGCACAGGAATTTCGGAACTCATCCCGTTACCGAAGGAACCCACGATGCTGAATCCGAACTCCATGAAATACTACCTTAAGATTATTGAATATTATAGTGAGAATAAAATAAAATTAAATAATCCGAACTTATAAACCGTTCGGATTTTACAACGGAAAAATAAAATAAGGAAAAACAGGAGTCTTCGGAGGCTCGAACAAACTGAAACGGAAGCAGGAACACGAATGGATCGCTGAGCAGAGACGTCAGGTGGTAGGGTGTCGCCGGAGAAGTTTCTTGGAATAGAGGTGAGGAAAGCGGAGTCGCCGGAGCTTTACTTAAGGTAGTATTGCCCGCCTCCCGCACTGGAAAACGTGGGCAATCTCCTCCCAGGATAAAACCACTACGTGCAAGGCCTAGGGCGGTAGAACCGTGCACCGACAAACGAGAATGACGAGACGTTACTACCGGAGAAGATGATCGGAAACCGGGGAATTGTCGGAGGATTATACATATTACAGAGAGAGAGGTCTTGCTGTGTCTTCATCCTTGCAGCCAAGCCCTCCTTTTATAGGAGAGGAATTTGGCTCTTCAATTGGACTAGACGGAGTTACCGCCCTGCCCCGTCGCGACGTGCGCGCGCGCATGCCATGCCGAGCCGGACGGACGGCGGCGGTGGCGCGCAAGGAGTCCTTTTCTTGTTCCTTTCATAAGCTCAATTAAATGCCTAAGCTTAAATATGAGAATACGAAAGGTTCAAAAACCGGTGTGGGACAAGGGTTTTACTCTTCCCTCTTATTCAATTTTGAGAATTAATTTCTCATTCACCCGAGCACCATTTATGGCGTGTAATATGTCAAAACATTTATCTTACTTACGAGATTAAACATCCATAATTATTTCGGAAAATAATTTTGTGGACCCTACCGAATTTATGTCCAAAAATGTCCAATTTATCTATAAATTTCCAACAAATGTGAGTAAAGTTGTGCTTAATGAAGACTCTGACAAATTTAAAGACTTCTAGAGAAGAGTAAGTTAATACTGTTTGATTTTATTTATGATTTGGATCTAACAGCTAAATAAATTTTCTTTTATTGTATCATACAAGTTATTGTTGTGTGGTGGAGATAATTTATCTCAAAGTTGCAGCATTGTATGGACACAATCTGGACCTAAAACTGATCCACGCAATACAGAGATGACAATAATCTCCATCCGAGATCTCAAGGCTATGAAAAGTGTAAGATAATTATTTGATACAAATATTTATAATAGTAATCAACCAATTCTGAACCAGAAGATTATTTGTACTTCCAAATTAGCTCTTGCTTCAGTAGTAAATTACTTGTACTTCCAAATTAGCTCCTGCTTCAGTAGTAAATTATTTGTACTTCCAAAATATTTTACTACTGATAGATTCGCCATATTACTATGTAAATGTACTTTTATGTGATGTTAATATTAAACTTGAGTTTTGAACTTATTTTTTTACTTTTATACTTCGTGTAAATATAAATGTAGCGAGCAAATAATGAATAATATAAAACTGAATAAAAACTTCTAATTATTTTGGTGACAACTTAATATTGGAATATATATTTTTTGTTTCTTTTCACGAAATAGGGTTGTTCGCTGTAATTCGAACATTATAAAAATCATACTGAAAAAATAATGAGTTACAATACATGAATCGAACTAAAGAGGAATCTTTTTTTCTCAAACATACATGAAACCAAGGTATTCTTCTAATATGCCTTAATAATATATTTATTATTATTATTTGTAGAAAGGATATTATTGGATAATTGGTGATGTGGTGGAGATTGAAAACACAGTTGAATGGTGCTACCTTTGTTGTAACACATGCAACAGTAAGATTGTTCTAGATGGTTCCCAATTTAAATGCAAGAAATGCAATAGAGATTATTCTGATGGAGTGTATAGGTTATATAATATTTATATTTTAATTTTAGAAAAAGTTATCGACATTTTTAAATTTGACATTTTTAAATTTGAAATAAAATGTATATTCTATCTAATAGGTACAAGGTTAGTGTCTGCGTTATAGACAACTCAGATAGTGCTTCTTTTATACTTTAGGATAAAGAATATAATTTGTCAAGCTACTTGGTATGCACGCTAGAGCTATGAGAACCTTTGTGTGTGAGGTATGGAAATTCAAATAAAATGCTATTAATAGGTAATTAAATAATATGTTTATGTAATTTATATATGCTCATTTATAACCATGAATGTCATAGCGGCATGATGATCCAAGCAAGATTCCTTAGGAGATTACCGAAATAATGAATATGAGAGCTTTATTCAGTGCATTTGTAAAGGGAAATATTGAGAATCAATCGGCTTATGTCACGAATAATTCTTATGGAGTCTATGACAGTAGTAGTTTTTCGGGTAGTAAACCTTCCCAATAAAGGGTTAGTTTTCTCTCCGAGTGTCGTGTCTCTCGAGGAGTGGACGAAGGGAATCAGTTTAATTACTCTAACTAGGCGAAGGTTAGGATTGGTTTATGAAAGTCTTCTCGGAGCGATTGTAAAAAGGGAGTGGAGTAAAAATAATAAATTAAGTTTACATAGTATAAACATAGATCTGGACCTAGGGTCTGGACATCATTCGGATCTATTTTATCATATTAAATTAACAATTGCAATAATAATATTTCTATTACTACTCATCCATTTCTAGATTTGTACTTAATCCGTTGTACTTGAATATCATAGCCTTTTGGCATAAAATATTTTTTCAATAAATAGCTAATTAAATCTTTCGAGAATAATTAACTAAATAAGGCAAGAACAATTGATTAACCATTCCAACATTAATTTAAAAAAAACAACCAAACTAGTCCGGACCCAGAGATCCGGACCCTATCTCATACTATGCAAACATAAATTAAAACAACATTTTATTAAATAAAGAAAAC